TTGAACTCATTTGTTTGCTAATGATCATAACACCAAATTCTTTTGCACCATGCATGCATGGTCTCATTTCGCTTGGCTGCTTTCCGATTTACTCCCGAAGTATGGTTCTTTATCTAAACTCAAAAGTCTTGCTCGCTTCTTTCTTGAAGTTTTAATTTGAGGCATGTTCGCCGATTCTATTCACTCACACTGACAAAGTACATCATGACAAACGTCCCACGTTTGAATTAAAAAAACAATTGTTTGTTACCAAACTTCGGGGGTAAATCGGAAAGCAGCCAATTAAGCGAGATGAGACCGTGCATGGTGCGAAAGAATTTGATGTTATGATCATTAGCAAACAATAGAATTCCCAGAGCATCAAATCGTTGGGAAACGATCAATGTTTTCTGTATTTCTCGTTCGCTTTAGATCGCTTTAAATGAGTTCAATAGTCTTGCAATTTTGTGTAATATTADTTTAAGTTCTAATTTGTATCCTGACGTARTTTTGAGAGAAATGATCAGCGAATTTTAGAATAATGGAAGATCTAGTAAGATTGACTAGAAAACTGCGATGAAAAGTGCGCATCAAATGTTTACCCCGTCTTATGCACTATACGTTTTCACAAAATCGCATAAGTCGATTACCTTCAAAATGTTCCTTTTAAAACTAGATACAGAGTAAAACTAAATGAGCAATRACTTTTGTGAATATATAGCTCTGAAATATGAATTTCGGCCGTATGAAATCCATTGTTTAGTTTTGAAGTAGATTATGCACTATATTTAAATAATCTCAAATATCTCATAATTAGCTAGATAGATTTTTTCAAAAATCCCCACAAATGGAGGCATCCAGTATATAATTATGTGGTACGAAGCATTTTAGTGTTGAACGCTCAGCAAGGCTAAAATTATTTTCTAAACGAAGTCAAATATTTCATCATAATCACGTGTTATGACGTCCGATCTCATAAAAAACTGCATCAAACATTAATTCAATCTTTATGTGACTTATGTGCAAAAAAGATTTGCAATCGGATAAAAGACGTTTATGCACTAGCGTTCCAAAAGTGGAAGGTAGCGGTCAAGCATTAGGGGGTCCAGCCACCTTAAGCAATACGCAATATTCATCTACTCTTTTAACCAATTTTATCCAACTTACCCTTGAGAAAAGAAGCCTTCTGTACAGAGCCATCACTAGTTTATTGTATTGTTGATCCTTTTGGTTTATAAATTGTAAAATAAGCTCAAAAAATAAACAAAAATACCACCCTTTAYCGCCAGTGATTGTTTTGCAATCTGGTCAGCGGTTGCATTATGGGGGAGGTAGAAACGTGATGGAGTGCCCAAGCTAGGTTTCTGTGGTGTCACGTTATAAGAAAATGTGTAATAAAGTAGAAACATCTTAGCTGACCTTTGAAAAATAGTGCCTCTCTCGCCCTGTGTACTTAGATTTTGGATTAAGCCAGTTTTAACCCGTTTTTTTTTTCTCCTCTCGCAGCTTCGCCGCTCTCAGTATTAATATGTTGCCATAAAAATCGGTATATATGGCATTGAGCCATGAAGTACATACCTAAAAATCCCTCTGGAACCCAGGGCCCAGTTGTTTAAAGCCCGATTAGTGCTATAGAGTTAATCCTGGATTAGCGTTAATCCAGCTTTGAACAACCTAGTCTCCCCCACAGCCGCTTTCAGTGTCGTCACGCAACGCTTTCTCCGTGACGACACTGAAAGCGGCTGTGGGGGAGACTATGAACAACCCGGCCCAGGGTATAAATCCAAACGTACCGTCTAGGATGGTTCAAAGGTCGACACGATATTTGTCGTACTTCTCCTATGGATACCCCATAGGGGTGACGTTTTGACTTCGAAATCAGCGTCACCGCAACTTAACGAGATAAGCCTGGGCGTTAAAGACCCATTGCCACTTACCGTGATGCACCGCGGTCACAGATGAATTTCGTGGTCCATGAAATTCAAAGATTCATATATTGAATAATAACTTCATATTAAATCCTTTTCCGACATAGCGCTAAGGCACAATAATGATTATTTTACATTCTTTTAATAGTTTATTCAAACGGTTAGAATTGTTTTTTCAGTGGTGACACGATTCAAAATGTAAACAAATTGTGATGCATCACGGTAAGTGGCAATTGGTCTTTAATGTAGTTAAAATATACCAATTATAGTCTATGACATGAACACGCCCAAGGATTAAGTGCGCATGTGGTTTTAACATTTCACATAGTCATCGACAATCTATCTTAGGAAATTTGTCGTATATTCATCAGGATTTTACGCTAGCTTTTCCGGATCCTAGTCCTAGAGATCCTATCTTTTTGGGGGGTTTAGGGGGAGCTAGCTGTGGAGTCAAGACGCGGGTAGACCGCGCAGTACGTCCACTATTGCCCTATCCCTGATCTCCCTTTCCATGCAACCGAAAAACTATATATGCTGGTAGGTGAAGTTTGATTAAGAGTTGCACGCGCCACCTATAAACGTTTGACTACAGGCAGGTAGGGATCCACACACACAGGTGATATACTAGAATAGTAATACATGGACGTACTTATATAGTTCAAAAATCTTATATCAAAAAATAATTAAAGAAAATTATATTAACTTGATAAACTTACAAAGTTTATCAAAATTATACATGTTGCATTAGTACTGAATTCTTCAATTGCAAAAAGCATGAGTCATAAATAAATAAAAATAATGATTGTCATCGATTAGAAATTAATTTCCACGTGGTTTGAATAATATAATAAAAAACATATAATAGAAAAAAAGGAAATTACTAACATGGAAAACTGAATAAATAAATAAAACCTTCTGAAAAGAGTGTTTAAAAAATAGAMGCGACTTTCATTGTTATGGTGCGAAGAACTGTTAATTGACATGCAGAAGTACATGTAAAAGTATCGAGAAAGCAGATAGCAGAAACAGAGAGAAAATAAAGCCTCTTGATTCAAAAAGGCCTAGTTTATAGTCAAAATAAAATACACAACGATTTTTTCCGAAAGAAATTGCAATTATGGTATTAGAGCGATTAGGGCGCGGATTAGAGCATTTCCTTTGTCGTTGATTAATGACTAGGAGTGGTTCCTATAATATATAAATGGTTTTAAGAGACCAGTGACAGACAACAAAAGAACCACCTGTGGCTAGTAGCTAGGACTGGCTTTGTCTGAACAGATTGTCTGGTTTACAAGTGCCAAACCCTGTACAGTAACAGCCGACGTACACTACTAAATAATTTTAATTCCCTCCCCCCTACTAGTAGTAATTTCACGACAACGAAAAATTAGATTTCAGTGATGCTTGAGATAAGTTCCAAATTTCATACTTCACACTTCTAATGATAATAATGTATGTAACTTAGAATACTTGGAAATAACGACATTGTTTGTTCTAGTGTTTTGTATTTTCTAATGTTATCTTTGGCCCATACAAAAAATTCCGTCATCAAGGAAAGAAACTCAAATTGAAAATACTCTCAAAAAATTGGATATTGTATCAATTTTTAAAGCTAGGGTGAACTTTTAATTTTGGAGCGTTTACACTAGCCTAAAACTATCGCTCATATATTCTTCCTACCTCTCTCTTGTGATAAAATGACTCCCTACCCTTCCCTACTTAGTACACTGATGACGTAGTTAACTTGGCCCAAGGTCGCGACCGCGAGATCTGAAAAAGCTGAAGGCTGACATAAAACAGCTACAAAGCAAAATATTGACTCGCCGATCGACTTTAACAGTGGGAATCAGTCTCTTAGAATTTCCTTTGATCTTGGAGTACATTCATTTACACGTATTTCGGATGGAGGAAGTTAATCAAAGGCAGGTAGGGCAACTCAGATTTTTATTTCAAACGGCCATTTTCGAATTTAGTGAAGGCGTTTGGGCGGCCATCTGCGCGTCGGTTAAGATTATAAACGGATTTTGAGCTCGAAAATAAAACGATTGGACCAAAAAGAGGAGTTAGTTTTCAATACTTATATTATATTAGGAAGTGCTGGTTTTGAAGATTTTTCAAACAAGTTTTCCCGCGTATTAACCTGCCAATTATTTTCCAGAGTCACGCATTTCCGTCAAGTATGACATGATCCTTCGCAAATAGAAAACCCCTCTTTATATTGTACTACATATTTAAGAAAAACCGGTCAGCTGAGTCATATTTGGAAATCGATTCCAGAGTTCTTTTAGGCTTTTGTCTGGGCATTGATGAAGTTCGAAGCGCTCTCCAAGGTGATTTATGAAGGCGTTTCTTAGTTATTGGTATCATTATACTACACGTTGAAGCCGACTCAATAAGTTCGCACCAAGGCATAAATTACGAAATATTTCAAGCCTAACTTCTATTTAAACGACTGTACGCTTTCGAAAGATTGTCTAAGGACTATTCTCGGACGTTCTTACGTCTTTCTAAATATTAATTATTTATTACTAATTTGTCATACAGTCTGAATTATAGTTGTGTAAAAGTGGAATTCTCGCTTTAAGACGGTGCACGATTGATTCATCTTTTCTTCTCGAAACGGCCGATAAAACAAGTACAATTAAAGCAACAAAAAAAAAAGCATAGAAAGTGGAAGAGAATATACAGGAGTTATTATATTATTACTTTGGATTCTTCGACGAAGCAGAAACCACTCATTCAGCGTGGCTTACAATTTGGAAAAGTTCAACTCTTCCGTTTTTGTTTCAGTTGAGCAAGAAAAGTTTGGACCAACTCAAAACGAGAAATGAGTTCCGCTTTACATTCTATAACTAATGGACATGGGAGATATAAAACAGAGATTATAATAATTCTAAGGAAAGGACGAAGGACAGAACCAATTATGGAGGTGAATAAAGAAAATGTTTCGCCAATTAAAGGCCTTGTGAATGCAGACAACGACGTGGATTGTCTGACCGGGAGCTTCCAGAAAAAGCTTGATATCAACGGGATCGACAAAGATGGAAGATATTTTTTGGATGTAATGAAGAAGGAGACGGAGCGATTAGCGAAATTATGCGAATCAACTGAAAAAGCAATGATTGAAGATTCGCCATCTGATGAAAGTAAGTCATATTGTAACATATTTCCATTCAAATTACACTTCCCTTCCAACCTCCATTTTATTTTTCTATAATCTGTTCACCCATCTTTAACTTTAACTTCGATGCAAACAAATCTAGTCACGAAATCTTAGCTCTTTCATTGAGTGTGAACAGTTTGAAATCTCCATTTGATATCAAATGTATTATTTGGGTTTTTGTTCCTCAGCATGAGAGGGTCGAATCTGTAGAACCTTATGCATCAACTATTCCTTCAAGCAAATGTTTTGACAAATTATGCCGATCTTGTTTATTCTTGTCCAAATATTGTCAAGACAGGCTTTAGAGGTCCAGTATTTGACTTATTTTTGAATGGGTTTGAAGTTTATTTTTTAGCCGGAATTTGAGTACAAAATGTGCCTAGTAGGGGAGTCATTCATCACTTCTTTTGTTGTTGCTAGATGCTTATTTACATTTTTATGCTGGCACCTGCTGCTAGAACATTCAACTTTTAATAATCCCATAACTGAAAATAACAGGGTATATTCTAACTTTAAGTTGTTTCCTTTTACTAAAATAATTGTCAAAGTATTCATAGGTTATAACATTATTTATATCTAGTTGTTTAATCAGCTATTCATCTGTTTGTTCATTCATTATGCATTGCATAATCTTCCCAAATCGATTTTCTACAGAAACTTCTTTATTTCATTCTCAAGAACACTATTAATCTATCCTCTCACTAATATCAAATTTGTTAAGATAAGACCTTCTTTGATAGGATATATGCTCTTAGTGTTAATGGGCTGGTATGTTTTTATGTACTTGATTCTATATGTAGGTCTGGAAGCAATTTGAATAAATCATTTGATGAGATCATCTTCTAAATTTAGCTCCTCCATCGCCTGAGAAAACATCAGAAAATCCTCAATGGTAGATTTACGTAGAGCTGAAAAGCATGTAGCATTTCCTTCCCCTATTTATTTATCTATCAAAATAACATTAAGAGTTAAATCACAGCAGTTATTACTAAGTTATAATCATTCATTGTGGACTCCTTCAGTTCTAGAAAGAGTGATTTTTTTTTATAATTGAAATAATAAAAACAGGCAATCATTTGAAAGTGTTGAGCTGCACACAGTTAACTTCAAACCACTATACCCTAAACAAACTTGATTTATCTATTTTATTTTATTTTATTTTTTATTTGCTCGCATTACAAAAAAGATATATTTTTTGTACAAAATAAAAGTGTGCCAAACCAATGTAGCGCTGACTTAAGCATGTACAGTACACTTTACTGTAACATTGAAATAGATTATAGGTATGGTTACTGTAAGAAGAGCCATTTACCATGTGAAAACATTAGACCCATTCTTTTTAACTTACTTTAGGACGTCATCCTGGCCTTTCTTGAAAAAGTTGCTAGCATTGAGCCTTAAAATGGAACAGACAGAAATTTAAAAGTAGTTGAATGATTGTATAAATGTTTCGTACCTTGAAATGCCAGCAGCCATATTACTGTGGTAGATGTCAGCTGTAATCTAACATGGCTATTGGCACTTGGTGGTGCGAAACCAATTTGGCATTAGATACATAGTTCATTCTTGGCCTCGGCATCCCATGTGAGTAAAGTTTAATGGGTCTCTCTTTTGATTCAAAGTTTTTTCAGGTTTTCCTCCCTTCCATAAAACCAAACATCATTGGCTGATTTCCAATTCAATCTGTTAGTTAGATACCTCCAGTACAATTGTTCTAAGGTTCAATAAAAACTAAAGGTCTTTATTTCTTTTCCATTTCTTTTACTATGATGCTATTTATAATAAACAATGACTTGGAAGGGTTTTTGGTCCTGGGTTGTTGTTGTAAGGGTGAATAGCACTATACGACAGATAAATTCTATCTAGTAGGATAAATTCTATCCAGTAGGATAAATTTATTGGATAACATCATTCACAGGATAAGGATTTATCTGTTGGACAGCGCTATCCACCCTTAGTACTATGACCAGGCCCTGGAGATCAGGAATGCTGTTTTCTTTGTGAAATACAGTTATGGACCAACTGAAAGACCATGCATTTCCTGTTTCTCTCTTAGTGTAAGAATTAAATGCTACTTAAGGTGATTAATTTTTTTTCAATACAATAAACTATTTAATTTTAAAGGTTATACCTATTGTGAAAGATTAACATTGGATCGTTTATTAAACTCATGTAAGTAGTGAAATGCCTTTTCTGCCGTCTGCAAAAATCAACATCAAAAAAGCACTGCCTATTGAGTGCTACTCTTGAAAAACAAGGATAATTTAGGAACAATGACAGCAAAAATATTTGTAAGGGATCAGTCTTAAGTTTCCCATCATTTTGTTTGAGCTTTGGTGCATTAAATAAATGACAAACATTAAGTGGCTTATACTAAAGAGAAATATTTAACAGTTATCTTGGATACAATTGAGAAAATAAAAAGTGCATATATAATTATGAGAATGATAATTATTGGAATAATCAATATGAGTGGTGTGTAGTCAAGCATTTGTGACCTGTCTGAACATTGGAGTATAAACTCTTTCACTCTATAATTATTATAGCCAAATTTGTACAATGTACTGTATGTCAAAATGCTACACTCCAATGAGGCTATGAAATTGAAAACATAAAAAAAACTAGTATAGCTAAAAACTGTATATTTAAACTTAAAATTTTAACTTTAACTTTTATTTTACAACCACCACTCCCCGTACGGGGCTCTTTTGTGAGGTTCCTTTCACACACACTACAACTACATTCTATATTTACGACATAYGAAACTCAACTCGCACATTGATTTTTATGGAGGGATGAAATCAGAGTACCCAGAGAAAATCCTGGTGGTAAGGGAGAGAACAGCACATTTAACAAACTCAACTCACATATGATCCAGTCTGAGCCAGGGCTCGAACCTAGACCACAGTGGTGAGAGGCGAGCATATGCCACCAATGCCACTTATTTATTATATTATTTGGAATATGCTGTGTCTGGGTTACACAGCCTCAAGGCATAAGTAGAATTAGATATTTTACTGTATCCATGTTGAAACTTAACTTTTAACTCCCATTCTTATATGAACATGGAATGGATTATAGGTCATTTTATGCTTGTGATAATTATTCATGTGATTACATCAGTTCATCACTAAGTAAGTTATAGATTGATTCAAGACATTGCCAGTGCTGCCATTAGATATGTTTTCTACCAAATATTATTTAAAATAATAATAATAGAGCTGAGTAAGAAGAGTGTCTGGACAAAAGCATATTTGGAAAGTTTACTTTAAAATAAAAAATATTTGAATGGCTAACGTCAGTGCTTGTTTGCAACACTTCATCTTATAAATAATTTATAGTCATAACTCAAGCTATATTTCAAACCAATTCTCACTAGTTAATTTTGAGCCAAATTTCCTTTAGGAGTGATGAGTAGTGGCTATGTATTGGACTATAGCATTATTACTAATTAGATTATTATACAAAATACAGTATAGTTGAATCCTGATGCACTGCTTTGATTACCAAGATTTAATGATTATCGGCTACGCTCTTGTGTTACTACAAATATGAAGTGGTTTGTAATTTATTCATTGTGACTTGATTTTCTTGACATGTAAAAAATAATTATTAATTCTGGTTTAAAAAAATAATGTAAGGCTTAATTTGCCTTGCATACCTTATGACACTATTTATTTCATATAACAGGAGATTATATGTAGTTTTGTATGGTTTCTATAGTTTTCCCATGCTTCCTTAAAAATTCAATTAAAATCTTTGGTCCCAAAATATCATTAATACTAGTTTCTAAATGAAAAAAAATCTAATTAAACTACTAGTGGCAGGGTTTGTTAATATTTAACACTACATCGAAAAATAAGATGCTAAAAACTTAAAAAGGTGACGTTTTTGAAGTAAAGTTTCTTAATGATTTTCTTCAGATATAGAGTTTTGAAACATGGTATTTTTCCACACTTTTTGATCCTTAACTGTTTATAAATATATGATAACCCCTTTTATAATAATTACATGGGCCAGACAACTAACTGTGCACAATTTGAGACATCTTTTTCTGTCAATAAGTTTTGGGAATATGTCTGATTAGTATTTTTTATGGAAAGCCAAAAAGCCAGATGTTATGTGTCATGGTTCTATTGGCCAGACAACTAGCTGTGCACAAGTTGAGACATCTTATTCTGTCCATAAAGATTTCTGAGTTAGTATTTTTCATGGGAAGCCAAAAACGTCAGATGTCCCATTGATAAGCCTATAGTGCCCAGCGTATTCTTCCAGATATTGTTGTTTTATTGTGTCACGGTTCTGTTGGCCAGACAACTAGCTGTGCACAATTTGATGTCTTATTCTGACGAAAACGTTTTGACCGTCAGTCAGTATAAGTTAGAGTTACTAGTATTTTTCATGGAAAAAATAAAGCCAAGAAGCCAGATGTTCCATTGATAAAAAACATGCCCTATGTATACTTCTGTATATGTGTTGTTTCATCATGTCAATGTGTTCTATTCATTTTTAACGGCCTTGGTCCTTATATTCAAGACTGAGGGCACAGTTTTTTCCTATCCAGACCGACTATAGGACAGTAAATAACTTTTTTTCCCCCGTATTTTTTTACCTGTTTTCGTAATTGTTTTGTGTTGTCGTGTAGGGGCAAAGATTACTGGACCGCACACATGGGCAGATACTGACAAAATACCGCCCGCTCAAACAGCCAATCAAAACGCGCGATTTTTTAGGATACCAGACTGGRAAAAAATACCGGACAGTATTTTGTCATAAACGTTATTATATTTCAGCAGTCCTTCAGATGGTTTTGAGTTAACTAATACACAAGTTATATAACAATAGACCTTTTTACCAATATGGTGGCCATTTTGAATTTAATTGTCTTATTAAGAGATTATGGGATGCCGAGGGGGGCAACTATTGGAAAATCTATAGACTACACCAGCTGTCAGGATGTGTTTTTATTTAACTTTTATGCTTTTTAATGAGTAATTATAATTTTTCCTTTTTCTTTTACAGTTTGTGGAAGGATCAGAGCAGCAATAGGGAAATCAAAACTACTAACCACTAAAAAGTTTAAACAGTTTAAAGGACTTTGTGAATTTAATCTGGTAATGTATTATTTCATTATCAACTACTTTCATTTTATTGGTTGTTTTGATTCATCAGCTTTTTAATCATAAATCAAGCCAAGCTTTCGAGCATCTTGCTCTTCATCAAGGCAAATGGTTGTGACAGTTTTACAAGAACAATGTGCGTGTGCTATAGTTAAATGTTGTAAACTTGATCGCTGTAAAGGTTTATTATGACATGGTCATCAGTTTGAGTCTGTTAATAATAATTTGAATGTGTTAATAAAATGATGATATGGTCATGTTTGGTCATGCATCTTTAAGTAATTTGTTCCTGCGAGAAATGAAATCCCTCTATTTCAACCAAGTTGACCAGATGTCTTGGGAACTGCTCTAAGGAACTTATGGTAATTACAATCACGATTCTAACTGTTTAATGCTTTCTTTAGGGCATTGGTAGTACAAATGGCAGAAGACCAACCAATGCTGATTTAGAAGGCTTTTGGGACATGGTTATGATTCAGGTACCATGCATAGGCATTGTTTTAATTTTCTTTTGCCTTGCCTTGCCTTGCCTTGCCTTGCCTTGCCTTGCCTTGCCTTCTAATTTTGATCTCCTTGCCTCTTCTCAGGTTGATGAAGTTAGTAGTTTATTCGAAAACATAAATGAACTCAGAAAAAATGGATGGGTTGAAACCTCACCAGAAGCAGAGACTAGTGAAGGGCTTACAAGAAAGCCTTCTCTAACGAAGAAAGGATCCCTTACAAGACAGTCTTCTTTTGGTAAGGTTCCTCTCATAAGACAAAGATCCAAAGAAGAAATCAAAGCTGTTGAGGTAAAACAAAGAGCCGCAGCAAGACAGAGACTTGCGGCTGCTAAGAGAGCAGCACGTCAGAAAGCGAATAGAAATAGCAATCCGTTGGACAATGTGGAAATATTTTATTCTCCTCATAAATAAATGAGTCTAGCAGTACAGGATGATTGACAATTAAATTCATAACAGATATGAAATGCTTTTCCTGAAATAATAAAGCAAGACAAGCCTAGACCAATGGATCATGAGAGACACCAAAGGATCCATTCACTGGACAATTTATAGAAAAATCATCTGTGAGACGGATGCAAAACCATTGAAAAAGTCATAGAAGTATTGCTTTAGAAGGTTTTCATTGTGTCCACGGTTGGTGGTAACTAACAAAAGATAATTCAGTTGTTTCTTTTGTTAGCACTACCAACTTGGCCACCATAACCTGGTCCTATGATTCCCAAAAAATAACTCGAGAAGGCCAGCACATACTACCATAGATATCATGGCCGCACATGGTTCAATTAGTGGCTTTAGAATTATCCAATAGACATTCTTCTCAAGGCTTCAGGCATATCCAACTTGACAAGCCATATAAAAATGAGCTAACTAAAGATATTGTGCAGCCAATTTTATCTTGAATAKGGAAAGATTATTGAAGATCATTTACCAGTGATCTTCCGTGAGTTAGGAATCCAAAGATTTGGACTCTTAAAAGCCTACTCTTGGTCTGACAGTCTAGATACATTCTCTTGATTCAAAGTATTCAAACTTATTTACTTCATAGATTTATAACAGTTAACACCTCTTTTGGCATCATGACCACTCAGGTTTCTCACATGAAAAGCTTCTTGCTTTTCGGAGTTTTGCAGTTTTGTGATTTCGATCATCCACTTTCAGAGGATAAGGACAAATCATGGAGCACAAAATATCCATAATTGGCCATCATATCTTCCCGAGTGTATTTCGTTCTGGTGTGTCAATGAGACRGTGAACATAATTAATTTCTAGTCTAGTTGATCCTTTCTGTAGGGAAACTGTGCTGATGTGAAGTGAGTGCTAGGATCGTCCCCAGTTCCTGCATGAGGATGTTGGATACAAACTTATTTGTGATTGTTATCCTGTGTTGTTTGTATATACACAAGTTAGATTTGAATTCACTTGATCCTAGCCTGCAGGCCACGCAGGCCAYGCAGGCTATGCAGGCCACAAAAACCTTTGGAGTGAAACTGCATTTCAATCATGAGAGAGAATTTCATCCAAACTACCAACACTGTATCAAGAGGGTTTTTAAAAAAATGAGATATTTTAAAGCCAACATTTTAACTAACTTTTGAAATTTGGATACTAGTATCCTATAAAACACTGTTTCGTGCCTTGGATAAAGTCAATTAAAGCGAGAAATGACCACATTTTATGCTACTTATAATAGTACTTCTTTGTTTTGACTCCATGAAATATTGACGAGTTTGAGGAAGAAAGTAGGGAGGTACAATCTGTTTTGTCTCCCCTTAAACGTCTTCCAAGAATTCTGCTCTTTGTTAAAAGTAAGAGTGAGATATCTAGATAGTCATATATTTTGTATATACCATGATCTTTTATTATAGAAATCAAAAGTATAATGGAATAGTAGTAATAGTAGTAAATATAATCCATAGTAAAATATAACACATGAAACAAAGTTCTTTTATTCACTAAATTTTTGCTTCAGATAGAACACATGTCATAAATATTTTGTAATGTCACTTTTGTAGAGTCACTTCAGTTGTGTTATCACTAGCAGACCTTTCACTGAATTCACTTACAGTATGTGACCATGAAAGAATGCTTCAAGGGGTGGATCCAGGGGAGTGTCCTGCACTGCACCGGACACAGTCCCAAGTGCCTGTTGTTGTTGTTTTTTTTGTACTCATATACCTTTTCTTTTTATTTAATCTTTCTGTTTTTCAAAACTTTAGTCTTACTCAAGATTAAGTGTATAAGATTAAATCTAAGAATAGATATAAGAACAATCTAAATACATCAGATCAGGATTATTGATGACGTCATTATATTGTTTAGGAAATGCATGCGCTTGCTGTGTGCAGTTATAAAGCATGCGGGGTTGGCAGAACATGAGAGAAGTGTTAGAAGAAGCACGACACATGGTGGAATGCTTGTCGACACTTGAGTTTCCTGCCAATTCCCAAGTGCTTTATAACTCTACGAAACATCACAGCAAGCAATTTTGGTTATTTCTTTTATAAAATGCAAATCACAATAACCGTTATTTTAGATAGGAATGATGCAAGTGAAATTGCACGCTTGCTGCCAGCCAATCAGGATGTGAGATTCATAAAGTTTATTTTATAATGCATTTTTCATTTTGGACCCTCCTCTTGCAAAATTCTGTATCCGCCCCTGACACATCAAGTCTAACCTCAACTTGGAGCTTTTTTTGTTTGGTGGTCATCCAAGTGAATTTTGGAAAGGTTTATTGTATTATTATTTGGTAACATGTTTTAGTTTAGTATAATTGACTATTATAAATTGTAGATCCAGCAAATGTCCTTACCTGCTGTCAGGTGTGTTTGGGGGAGGGAGGGGAGAATGGAATTCCAGGGGGTATAGAGAGTGGAATTCCAGGGGGTGGGAGAGAGTGGTGGGAAGAGGGGGATAAAAGGATAATGTACCCTCCACGTAGGAGGTATGGATGTTTTCTGGAACTACATAAACTTCGCTTAAGTATACTTGGAGTTAAGTTGTTAAGGATACTAATAATTGTATTATAATACTATGAAATTGAGTAAGAATACAGGAAATACTATTTAATTCTATTTGAAGATAAAGAATTTTACTCGTAATGAAATCCATGTCAGTACATTGAGTTTCACTTCCAGAAGTGGGACATGAAAAACATTCACTTTTTAGCATTTTATGAATGAGAATACTCATATGAATCGAAATAAACTGTTGTATTTATTGTTTGTATGTCTTTATTTTACCGTTTCATTTCTTAAAATAAAGACAATAAATAGGTGGAAAAACAGTTTGAAAAGCTGGGGAGGGGGTTTCATTTACCAGACCAAAATTTGCAATACCCAGTACACGCATTTCAATGTACATTAAGAGACTGCTGACCAAAACACTCGCTTAAACTGGAAAGAAGTGGACTTGGCGATAATTTCCAACTCTACTCTCTAAAGTCATACAGTATCGCAACTACGTCAAAATCAGAAATTAACACCGAAGGCCCCCGGGGGCGAATCCCAGCCCTGCCCCCGGGGTCTGAGAGGAGGGAGGAAGGGCCAGGTCGGTGGGCTGGCTGGTGGTTTCTAGTGAGTAGTTCAGTACTACAATCTTGATTATGACCATGTTAGAAATAATACAAAATTCCCACCCTGCCCCCTACCCCTGGGGTCTGAGAGGAGGAAGGGCCGGGGCGGTGGGCTGGCTGGTGGTTTCTATTGAGTAGTTCAGTACTACAATCTTGATTATGAAGCCTGTTAGTAATAATAACCAATCTTTTTATATTCAGGGTTGCCTACGTCACAAGTGTTTAACAGTGTAGTCCTGTAGGATCCATATTAGTGTTGTTTATTTTATGTTCTCGATCTTGAATGAAATACTTTTATTTTATGATTCTGTTCTGCAATAATTCTTTAACAATTTTATTACTTACTCTAAATCAATGTCACAATATTAGGGACCTTTTGGTATCAATACAGAAGGATGACTACTAGGAAAATTTAAACAGAGGCATGTTGTGCGATATAGAAACAACTGCACAATCAGTTGAAGGGCTCATCTTCTGGATTGTTTTCTTAAAACAATTATTGTAATAAATAATTTTTGAGAGAGGTAGAGATGCCCATTTGTTTGCGTTGCAAGCATCGTAGCTTCTAGTACATTCATATCCAGGGGCGGATCCAGGATTTTGTTCAGGGAGGGGTGCTGCGCACAAAGTTAACCCAGGGAGGGGTGCACCCCTTAGAATCAAAGGGAAAAACAGTATTGGTTGTCTTCGACGTAGGGGCACAAGGTGGAACAGGGAGGGGTGCACACCCCCAGCACCCCTCCCCTGGATTCGCCCCTGCTATTCCTCTTGTCTCATACACACACACCTGTGTTGATAACAAATGGCCACTTTATGCCATTTTGTCAAATTAATTTCTGCTTATTAGTATTTTTTTACCCCTGTTTTATCTCCCCATACCATGGTGCACAAGCTTAGAGTGGTGGGAACGTACTATTGTTTCGCATGTACGTAAAGAAAGAATCATATACATGTTATGTATGTATGCTTCCTACATATTTATGGTCATATACATGTTATGTATAGCAAGAGAAACGTGAACTCTTGTTTTGTTGTTGTGAATTTTGAAAACTCACCCCCATCAGTTTTGTACTACAACCATGCATTGCCGAATCTTAGTGGTTTTTTCACACTAGTATTTTTAAGCACTATCATTGGTCAAACATCCACACTGGATGTTTTCAGTTTTGTACCGTATAGGTGTGTATGTGAAAGGTACGTTTTTTCAGAATCGGACGTGCTCTTAATATAATATTTCAGTAAGTACATAATGAATGATAAAATCATATAAGAGCTGCATGATTAATACGGCAAATCTTATATGCAACTTTTTATAGACGTGGCGGGAAATGCTCACGTGACATGACAAAATTCCTATCACCTGATGATGGAGGAGTTGTTCAGTACTACTAATACATGGTTTTAGATCTAGATTTTCGTTAGCATATATTTTTTGTTCATTGATATTTATAATATATATAGTTTGTGTGCATGTGTGTAGTGGTGTTTTGGTGTTATTTTCCCCCGTCATTCATTACATTGCTTGTGCAAGTGCAGCAGTTTTTCCCCCTCAAAATATATGGCGTCCTTCAGGATCGCGTTGGCCCCATGTTGGTGGCTCATAGGCGTTTGTATACGCCAAGTTCTTGATGGCAGTTGGGACAAGAATGGGATACATCCTTGAACATGTCCACAAAGAATGGTATAAGGCAGCAACCTGCTACTCCACTGAAATTGAAGATAGAAGCATAAACCGATGAATATAGCGTATGAATATAGGGTAGATAAATAGTGCAGAGATCGTGTACAAGAGAACATGAACTAAGAGAAGGAATCCTACACCTATATAGCCTTGTAACCATCATGTGCAAAGTTTGATGCTATTTTTAGCTTGGAGATATTTTGAGTGAAGAACCTGATTGGTTGATTTCTTGAGGGTAGACGGCTTCCAGTCTTGCAGTAAACAAAGCCTGTGTTTTTGTTGTGGACGTAGCGAAATATGGTGCTTTTCCTGTTCTAAAACGAGGCATTAAATGGAAGCATGATTATCGCGCGGGTATGGTAACCAATTTATAAATAGCATCAATAATTCTAAAATTAGCATCAAAGTGTGCACATGATGGGGCACGGGGATTCCTTCTCTTAGTTCATTTTCTCTTGTCCTGTATACCTATTTATTTCCCCAAAAAAATTATGCTAAATAAAATATTCCTTCTTTTCTTTCTCTCTTTCTTTCTTATATTCTTTCTTTCAGGGGACTTTCAGGGTCTCGCATGACAAAAGCAACTCGCCTCGCTTACACTCAAGCACTCTGGGGACGCAAAGAGTCAGTTGTCAATATTTTCAAAAACAACAGATTTAAATAGTTTAACGTTATTTTGGTCCTGTGATAGAAACCTCTCGAAACTAAATCCCACTGTTGCTTCCGTTTGGATTCTGAAATCCTTTTGTGCAAGCTGACTTATTTAATGAGAATTCCGTACGTCAACACACACTAGCAACCACACTTCAAAATAAGTGGCCTTCTACTCACTGACAGGCTATATTTCTATAACTTTCTTCAAAGTATTAAGATTTTTTTACAGGATTTTAATTTTCTTTCAGTTCTGCCCGTTTTTTTCATGTATACATCTTTTACCTTACTTCTTTTAGCTACATTACTGAAACTTGGTCCAATATTTATGGTTTAATTTCTATATAAGTTATAAAAATGATGATGCAAATGCAAGATGGATTTAAGTGCAAATCTCCCTAAACTTTTTTTCCTAAAAAAGAAGAGAAACAAAGTTTTAAAACTCAACAGATTTTATATCTTTAAAATTGAGAGCAAAGACTGATCAAAAGTGAGCAATATTCCCTAACCGTACTTAGAAATCCAAGTATTTTCCAGCTAAGATTGAACTACGTCTATACAGGTAATTCAAAAAATGTTGTCGTCGACCAACTCAAGTCTACGCGACTGGACCGAAAGGAACTCTGGGTAGTAATCATTGAAGCCGAGTTGACTCCATAATTTTATCTGACTAGTTATGCCTGGTTTACAGCAGCACGAACCTTCGTAGGCGAGCGGGAAGTGTTGAATGAGACGTTTTTTAAATGCCTTCATACTTTCGGAATTGTGAACTGAATCATAACTACTTTGTTTTTCTTTCCCTAAACCCGAAGACATGCATTTGATGGATTGTTACTCGCCATTATTATCTTATTACTAGCGGGAACTATTTAATTCAAAACGAATATTTTACCGCTTCAGTGATTTTTACCCATATTCCTTTCGGTCCAGTCGCGTATAGGCTTGAGTCGGTCGACGACAACGTTTTTTGAATTGACTGTATACTCGGAGTTAATTCCGCCCGCGATTACGGTACGAGGATTTTTGCCAGAACTCAAGCTACACAGTTGGTCAATGCTTACTTTAAAATTAAACTACATAACTTCGTCAATAATTCTCTTTTGTTGACAATAAGCAGCAATAATGATTCTGAATTCTATCTTCTAAATTTATGCGATAGTTGGTATTCATTATCCGTTAGACCATCAATCATTGATACGAGTCGGTGTGTGAGTGATTTGAACAAACGTATATATTCCAGGCCAACCTCACCAACTTTTACAAAGAAGAGATAACTAGCTAAAAACTAGTGTGAGCTGCGTCGGTGTTTCTAATGAAACAGTAATGACAAAAAGGTAAATTATACACCGTGAAAAGATGAAAAAACTTACTGACGTTTCGGACGCTAGTCCTTCGTCTTTTACTCCGACGAGGGACTAGCGTCCGAAACGTCAGTAAGTTTTTTCATCTTTTCACGGTGTATAATTTACTTTTTATCATAACTTTTACAAAGTTATCAAAACTTACCCCGCACAGCAGATTACACAAGAAACCAGCCAAGTCATTCCACCGTTAGTATAGGTTGTTTCGGTGATAATCTTCGCTTGACAATAAGGGCAAAACATACTTTTGGCATTGTCATAGAAGTCGTTATTCGGAAGAACGTGCATCACACTGACCGGTTGATGAACGATCGTAGAGGCGTACGAAGGCTGCATTGGTTGGCCTAGATTTGGCGGTGGTTGTGGTTGTTGGGACTGTGGTTCCATCATCGTTTATTTGAAGGCAGAGAATTAGATTTTAGAGAGTGTGGAAGACTCTGGGTTTGTGATGCTCAGGTATTTGCGAAACACCTGCTTTACAGAGAAGTTAAACAAAAATACTCGTGACGTAAAGATATCTTCTTTTGTTCTCCTAGGACATATGGAGACCTACGCATAAGAATTGGTTAATTATGAATGTATTGCTGCTAAGAAACTGGCTAGAACGTAGCTTTAGTGATTAAGTTAAAAACACGTACTGTCGGTGCCGACACGGCGCATGACATGCAAATTAAAAACATCTATCATGCACCCCCATGCACAGTAGAAATTTTTTACCCCCAAACCTCACAGACCAAGAGAAATCAATGTTGCTAATTGGTTCATTCAGGCTAGTTAGTAAGCTATCTGTTCTGTCATTGACAGCATTAATTCACTGCAAGCGAACCTACCTTATCAGGGATCACGAATTTAAGTGCAGTTGATTGCGAACTGCATTGAGCTAAACTGTGCTCACAAGAAGACCTTTTGCCTTTTGCTTTTAATGTTTCTCCATTTCAGACCAAGTGTGAGAATAAGATTCTTTTTTGAGTTGTATCCACATTCATGCCTTTTAATGCGCAGCCAAATCTCACGATCTCGATTACAATTCGGAATTTATATGTACGAGTGATGTTGAGTGATGTCTCGCATAAAGGCTCGTCCAATTTTGAAAACTTTCAAAACATCACGAGTATCTATAATTCCGAGTGTACGAGAAGATTGTGCGATTTTTTGCTTAGAATATAATCAACGAAATTGAGCAACTTAATTGGGACTCTACAGAGAGTACAATTTGGGATTTAATTGTACTCCTCTTGTCCAATCAGAATCGAGTAATTTTGTTGAGTGTATTATAAAAGAAAGATATGGTACTCTAGGGAATGAAATGTAGTTTAAATTGAGCGTGAGACATTACACCCCAAGACGTTAATATCGTAATCAGTGTTGGCATATCAGTAAATTTCAATCGAGTGCCTAATGAGATCAGTTCGGAAGATTTGTAAAGGGTTTGATAAAGTTAATAATCGGCCATATGACTTTAAATTTTTTGCAACGTAAGAGCAAAAATGTATATAGAGGGGTGATATCATGTTGCAAACCATTATTTTACTGTGTTATTTTTTAATATTCAACTCCGGGATCCAAGGATTTTTTATGTACAGCTTTTTCAAAAACGGTTGAATACTGGATACTCTACTGAATAGTGATTTCCAAGACCAAAGGGCATTGTGGGTGTCGCTAATTTAAAATATAAATCTCTACATGTAGTTACACGTAGTATATTGTTTCAGAGTGAAATATTTATTTATTTATT